TTTGACCTCGGCTGTCACTATGAAGTGTCCCCCATCACTTCTCAGGCGACGGGCCTAGGGCGCCAGCGTGTCCGGGGCCAAGGGGCTTCCCAGACGGGGACCCTCAGTGTGAAAACCAGAGCTGTCCCTAGAAAACTGGGACAAGTTGGTCACACCGCCCCTCACCTGGGGACGGCCACCAAAGCAACCCCGTTTTCCTCCCTCTGGGTCCACAGCCAGGAGAAAACAACACGTACTGAGTCTCCACTGCGCCACTGACATGACAGGCACGTTCTGGAGACCCCACCAAGCATGAGCCGCTCCACACGGGGACACTTCACATGCTCCTCACCCAATGCTCACACGTCCCCACCCTGGGGGGACCGCCACCCTACAGAGCGGACAGAGGCGAGAGGGAAGTCGCGTGCTTGTCCCCCAGACGTTAAGGCGCTGGCCTCTCGGTGGAGCCTGTGTTACATCCTCTCCTGGTATTTTCTCCGTTTGTAACTGGGTCACTATACGCCCTTGTCCGGGGAACTGCCCATGACTTAGTTTGTTTCCAAGAATGTCCACCCCATTGTTCGCTTTTCTCATTTCACGTGTTGCCCTTGGTCCCCATTTTCCCTGCCTCTCAACCGAGACGGTCTGCTTCTCAGCTGGGGATGTGAGTGAAAATTCTCTACGTGTGGAGAGTGGAGCAGTGATGCTGGACGAGGCGCTGACCTGCAGCAGAATCTCAGGTCCACCCTCAGCTTCCGGTTCAGAACTTTCCGTATTCACTACATCCTTCACCCTTTCTGCTCGTTGTAAATACTCCTTTGTCTTAAAGAAAAAAAACATCCTGTTTGATCACCGTCAATTTTGTCCACACAGAACCCTGCACGGAGGTTTACAGCAACTTTAAGCATAATCACGAAAATTTGGAAGCCGCCAAGATGCACCTCAGTAGGTGGATGGATATATAAACCGTGGTCCATCCACACAACGGAATATTCTTTGGAGCTAGAAAGAAATGAGGGAGGGAAAGACTGGGAGTGTGGGATTAGCAGACGTCAACTATTATATACAGGATGGCGAGACAACAAGCTCCTACTGTAGAGCACAGGGAACTATATCCAACCTCCTGGGATAAACCATCATGGAGAAGAATATAAAAATAGAAAGTCTCTGTGTATAACTGAATCACTTTGCTGTACAGCAGAGACTGGCGCAACGCTGTACATCAACTCTACTTCAATATGAAAAATGAGCTATCAAACCATGAAAATCAGGGAGGAAACATAAGTGCATATTTGTAAGTGAAAGAAGGCAATCTGCAAAGGCCACACACGAAGTGATTCCAACCATATGACATCCTGGAAAAAGCCAAACTATGGAGACAGTAAAAAGATCAGTGACTGCCGGGGGTTAGTGGGAGGGAGGGACGAACAGGCAGAGCGCGGAGGATTTTCAGGGCAGGAAACCTAGCCTGCATGATGGTGGATATATGTCCTTATACATCTGTCTAAACCCACGGAATGTACAGCACTGAGCGAACACTAACGTAAAAGTGGACTTGATTTCACTTTCTGACTTACTTCACTCTGTACGACAGTCTCTAGGTCAGGAAGACAAGTATCGTATATTAATGCATATTCATGGAATCTAGAAAAACGGTACAGATGAACTGGTTTGCGAGGCAGAAATAGAGACACAGATGTAGAGAACAAACGTATGGACACCAAGGGGGGAAAGGAGGGGTGGGATGAATTGGGAGATGGGGATGGACATATATACACTAATATGTATAAAACAGATAAATAATGAGAACCTGCCGTAGAGCACAGGGAACTCTGCTTCGCTTCGCTGTACAGTAGAAACTAACACAACACTGTAAAACAACTACACCCCAACTGAAAAGAAAAGTGGCCTTGAGTTAATAATAATGTATCAATGTAGGTTCATCAGCGTAAAAACGGCCACACTGATGCAAGATGTCAGTAGCGGGGGAGCCTGGGGGTGGCTGGTTATACAGGACCCCCTACTCTTGCCATTCAGTTTTCTGTAAACCTAAAACTACTCTAAAAAATGAAGTCTAGTTTCAAAAATACGGGAGTGGGGTGAGGGGAGGGAAAGTTCCGCCTTACAGAGAATATTAGCTGTAAGACATAAAACTGATGTAGAAAATTACCACTTGGCGGCCGCCCTGTGAGAGCTGTTCAGTAATTCTGCTTTAAATGTTAAAGCTGAAAATAAATAATAATTTATAATTGATCTGCCCAGACCCCCGCCACCCAAAAAAAAAAAGAATCCAACCAAAACCTTCTGAGTACTGTTAGTTATTGGCTGAGATCCGGGAAGTCCTGTACAAGAGCTGTCTGCCTGGGAGGCGGGCGTCCCACTGCTGGTCCCCAGTCGGATGGGGTCGGAGCCTGGTCTCAGCCTTCCCTGGAACACCTGTCCTGAATTCTGTGCTTTGTCAGGTGCCAGTTTACACGGATTTCAGGGGAAAACAGGTTTCCGTTTCTTTTCTCAGAGTTAGTTCTTCCTGATCAGTGAGCCCAGAGGCCGTGGTCACGGGGATAGTTCAGGAAATCCCGGCGTTCATTTCACCCCACGCCACCTTCTCCACAGGTCGCTGCTCCCGGGTCGAGTCTATCCCAGGTCTGAGGACAGTGGATGACATGCTGCCTCCGTCTCTCTCCTTCCCGGGTCCCCGAGGCTCCACTGCATCTGCTCTGACGATGACGCCATCCACCACCACCAGGACAGCGTTTCTAACTACAGGCGGGGCCACGAGAAATGACCGCTGACCCCCGTTTTGAAATAATCTAGGGTCTGTGCTGATGTGTTTTTAGAAGCTCAGTTAGGGTCGGCTCTGGAATAACAGTCGATCCAAACTCTTGGAATCCAGCGACACCATCGCCAGTGAAGCAGGCCTGCTTCATGACGGGGAGGGGGGAGCAGGAGGGACGGTGTCCAGCCCGGGGAATCATCGGGAGACAGCCACGGATGCGGCCAGGCCAGCGGGAGCCCAGGCCGGAAGCTGCCCGAGGACCACAGACCCCGGGCCTGGCTCAGCTCTGCCACTGTCCCTGCTCAGGAATCCACAGGCCCATGTGCGGTCTGAGCCCAAGTGTTGGGAGCTACACTGCAGTGATGGACGGTACCCACCCACCCCCCGCCCAACGAGCTGGGGGCCAGCCTGGGTGACAGGGGCTGACCACGGGGCCAGGACCAGCACGTGCCCACCGTGTGCCCCCCCCGCCCTGGTGCTCAGACCCTCTGCTCAGCTACACACACCCCCAAGGTGCTTCCCCCGCAGACCGAACGTCCAACCCTGCAGCTGCCCCGCTCCCCGTCCAGACTCTCTGCAGACGCCCGTGCCCCCTGACCCACCACCTGCTACAGGCCCTTCTCCCCAGCCCTGGGGTCTTGCCCCATCACTCCTGACCTTAGAAGGTCAGCCCCGCGCAGGCACGGCAGGGCCCGCCTCTGCCTTGTGCTCCATCCACCCTTCAGGATGCCCGGGAGCCTGCTTGCCCACGGCACCCCGCCCCAGCTCCCGGCACACAGACCCCCAGCTTCCTGTCTCACCAAGTGTCTGCCTGGGCTGGTGCCCGCCTCACCTTCACGCAGGCCTCTGCGCTTGTCCCCCCTCCAGGCCTGTGCTCTCCTGTCCCTATCCAGGCCTGTCCCGTCCCCGGGCATCTCGAGCACTGAAGCTGTATCCCCGATAAGCCAGCACGTTCTCACGTTGCTCAGTTAAATTCAGGAGACAGGAGTCGACCGTGATTACAGCACGGCCACCTGTGTGCAGACGGGGACGTGCACGGCTGCAGGAGTATGGGTGCAGGTCCTGCCCCAGCTCTGGAGTCCCCACAAGTGACGAGAAAGCTCCCTCCTTCAGCTGACGCACCTGTCGTGGGTTCAGCAGCTGTGAGGTGGGACACATATACGTGACATTGGCACAGGGAGGACCTGCCCGACCCAGGAGGAGAGGGGGAGGGAGGCCCCGCTCGCTGAGTCCAAGGTAAACGCTCTCTGCTAAGCATTACCCGCTTGCCCGGATGAACGCTCCCAGTTGCCATGGAGACCCTCACCTGAGCCGCTCTCGGCTCTCACGACGGCCTCACCTCAGCTGGTCAAGTTCACGTGTCCCCTGGGCACAGGGCGCTCACCTGGGATGCCGGTGCCTCCCCCCCCCCCCGCCAGGGGACACTGTGCAACGTCTGGGGGCATCTTTGGCGACCACAACTCGGGGGTGTTACTGGCATTTGTGGGTGAGGGTCAGGGATGCCGTACACATCCTACAGTGCACAGGACAGCCCCCAGCACAAAGGACTGTCCAGCCCCAGCATGGAACATCATGCATCCATGAAAAAGAAAGAAATCCCGCCATTTGCAAGAACGTGGATGGACCTTGAGGGCATAACGCTATGTGAAATAAGTCAGACGGAGAAAGATAAATCTGTATGATCTCGCTGACACGTGGAATCTAAAACAACTGAACCCAGAGAAAAAGACTGGTGGTCACCAGAGGCAGGAGGTGGGGTGGGTGGAATGGGTGGAGGGGTTCAAAAGGTCCAAGCTTCCAGTTATGAGATAAGTCAGTCCTAGGGATGTTGTGTACAGCATGGCGACTGCGGTTAATAATACTGTGTTGTATATTTAAAAGTGGCTAAGAGAGTAGATCCTAAAAGTTCTCATCATAAAAAAAAATGTGTAACTATGAGTGGTGACGGATGTTCACGAAACGTATCGTGGTGATCATTTCCCAGCATATCCGTATACCAAATCGTTACACTGTACACCGAAAATTAATACAATGTTTTGCGTCAACTGTATTTCCATAAAACTGGAAACAAAAAGAGAAGACATAAGATTAAACAAAAGTTAATGCCCATTTGGAACTGGTAAGAAACAGAAAGGATCCTCCGGCCCCCATGTCAGCGGGGCGGAGGATGAGAGCCCTGTACCGTTTTATCCCACGCGTGATCTGAGGTCCCACGCGCGGGGACTTGGTTTCCAGCAGGGGGAGCTAGGCACACGCGGGTGCATGTGCGTCTCCCAGGGCTGGCATGAGACGGCTGTTCTGTGTTGTCATTCATTCATTCACTCATTCTCTCCTTCAACTCAGGTACGTACTGAGCACCTACCACTCGCCAGGCACCTCCCGGATGCTGGCGATTCCACGCCGCTAACACAGGCTCCCGGAGGAGGGAGAAAGCACTTTTAAAACCGAGTAAAGCGTGATGCTGCCTACGCACGTGTAATCCGAACAACAGAATCACCTTTCCTCCCCGAACCCACGTTCCAGCGGGGTTTCCTCAAGTGTCTCCAACCAGCCCCTACCTCCCGTCTCCAGGTCGTGGAAATTCGGATCCAGGCCTCGTTCCAGCATCTTGACGACCTTCTCCACCGAACGATGCTGGATGTAATCCATGCATTTTTTCAGGTTGGTCTAAAGAGAAAAGCAAAATTGGTCTTACAGAGAAACGTCTCTTCAGGCCACAGGAAGGCTCCTTGCGGGGTGCACCCTGGCTGGACGCCTTTGCGGGGAGGAGAGCTGCCCCTTGATGGGGCCCTGCTGCAGTCCCCAGGCTCACCAGGCAGCATCCTTCTGCATCTGGAACCCCGGGGCCAAGCCCGGAGCCCAGCACATGGCAAACACAATTGGCCTGTCCTGGATGAATGTTCTAGAAATCCCCCACCGACCTCTGTGCTTGCCGAGAGCCACAGGATGTTCCTTCACTTTCAAAAGGATGAACTACCTGAACCACTTTGAAAAACTACGCTTTCCAGGGTGCAGCCCAGGTCTTCTGACTCCATCCTCTTTCGAGCGAGGCCCGAGGATTGGTATTTGTGTTTCCTAATCTCTAACGCAGTGGCTCCTATGGACAGCAGAAGGGCACTGCTCACAGCTTAACCCACTCGTGGCTAATCCCGTGACCTGCAGGTGGACACACGGATGCTTGGGTCACCGAGCGATTCAAGGTGAGGGAGTCAGTCACTCCTCGTGAGACCAAAATGACCAGGGGCTCAACACTGACCAGGTTGCCCAGACTCATCTGCAAGGAAAATAATAATTTTCTGTCCATCTAGCAGATAGCCTGGGTTATTTGATGGTAATCACAGTATCTGAGATGCCTCTGTCAGATGAATCTAATGCTCTCACTGGCCCAGTTCTCCACCCGCACTCCACACCCCTCCCCAGTCACCCTGAAACCAACCCCTGGACCCTTCAGCCCACGGATCTCCACCTGGATGCTTTCTGTACATTCTGGGACTAAACATTAACAAATGCTCAAGGACACAGGATACACTTGGTTTCTCCGAACACCTTCATTGCTACTTACTAATCGACATTATTTTAAATGCACAAACACATTTTCATGTACACATCAGAGAGTAATCAAAAGAACCCGACGTGCCCAGACTTGGAATCTAAATACCCCTGTGTGGGCAGATTCCAGGGCTGGGCAGGGGAAGTGCAAGAGCAACCTGACCATCTTGTGCCTGAAAAAGCCGTCAGTACTCAAAGGATGGTGGGGACAGCGCCAGAGGGAGGAGAGCCAGGCAGAAGGGCCACTGGCCACATCCGGACAACTTGGGCACAAAAATAAATAATGAGAATGGCATATTATAACCCACTGAACACGATGAAAATCCACAGGTCCATCCTGATATGAATGGGGGGATGAAACAAAAACAAGGGGACCCCAGAGGTTGGGGATGCTCTCTGTGGACTCACGGCTGCAAGTGAGCTCACCTGGGCAGATCAGGGCTGGTTTAAGTAAGCTGAACGGGCACCCGTCCTGACTCTGGCTCTCCCTGTGCTCTGCAGGGAATGCTCCAGGCTCTCCGGGGAGGGGCCGGACCTGGAGGAGGGCATCTGAGAGCATCCTTGGGTATCACACATCTTCCTCCATGCTGAGCGAGGTGCCCACCGCACGCTCCAGCTCCTGCACGCCCTGGACAGGCACAGCATCCCTGACGGAGCGCAGGTGTGCCTGGAACACAGCCCACAGCTCGCTCCTTAACCCTCTCCTTCTCCCCTGCTTCCCTCGTGCGTCTTACCTCCATGCAGTTTATGTAAACAGCACCTTAATCACGAGAGTGGCGGCACCAGACACCTACTTCAGTGTTGTCCCCTATTTCGGCAGCGAAGGCCCAGAGGGAACGGCCACCCGTCTTCCCAGAAACACCCGGGAGGAGGTGAGTAGAAAGCAGGGCCCCAATCTCCACTCTCAGGGATATTATTTCCCTTACGTGCAGGCATCGACTGCGTTTGCGTCACACGGGAGGAGACGATGGTGGTGTTGAACAGGGCTCTGGCGGCAGCAGGGGCCTCAGCGTCTCACAGGAAGGAGAACCCTCTGCCCAAGAGCTCCCCCGATCTCTGAGACGATGACGCAGAAACGAACACCAAGGCTCGACACAACCAGTCCTCGCTTACCTTCGTGTGCAGCTTGGCCAACTGTTTCTCATCCAGATTGGATTGTCTATACACCCGCTTCTTGTAGCGAAACTGGCACAGACACACAAACAGGAAAAAAAGAAAACCAGGTAAGTATTTCACGCAGCCGTTCAGAGGAAACACCTGCCTTGTCCGTGGGTATTTCCCCCGGGGCGGGGGCTCCCTAGCAAACCCTTTTGTGTTAAATAAACTACTTGCGTTCGCAGCACAGAGCCTACGACAGCGTAAGGGTAACTTCTGCGGAGATGCTGCTGCCATTTTGGCTGGAAAGTCACAAAAAGAAATGAGAGCAACCCAGACTCAGGAGCTGATGTGCTCTGCTCTCCTCTGCATCGTCAGCATGGCAGCAAATGAGGACCCGCTTCTCACGAGGGCTCTGTCTCCGACATCGTCAACCTTTATTAAACACACTCAAGAAAAGCCCCAGCCTGGCAAAGCCACCTGCCCTCAGCCCACAACCTCTGCCTGGGACTCTGGGGCTCAGACTCACTCCTTCAAATGGCACGGCACCTCCTCTAACCTGGCAGAGACGTCATGGAAACAGAGGGGCTTGCTGAGTAAGTCTACCTTGCTCAGGTAGAGTGATGGCGCCCGGGAGGGTGCACTGGGGCCGCAGACTGCTTCCGGATCCCCAGCGCCTTTCACCCGATGCCCTGTTCCTTCTCCTGGGTGCCCTGGCTGCCTCTGTAGTACATGCCCTGTGGCGGGTTTGGGAAGGAGGCTGGCAGCTTGGGAGTCACTGGGACTCTGAGCTGAGACACGGCTCCAACTCCAGCCCCCCCACTGCCCTAGTGTAACGGAAAGTGGGGTCCGGCTGCTCGCTGCTCAAAAGCCAATAAAGAGGCCAGGTTGGTGGAAAGGCGAGTTTGCCTTATGTTGATGCTGGCAGCCTGGAGGCAAGGGAGGGTGGACTCCCGTCCAAAGGCCAACTCCCCCGCACTGACAATCAGTGGGCTAGAGCTTTTATAGACAGAGGGAGGGGGCTCCATGCAGACAGCACGGTCAGCTCCGGCAGTCATCTTGAAATTGGTCATCAGTACTCTGACCAGCGGCATCTTGATTGCTTTAGGACCTGTTAGCCTCAGTTCCAGGGTTGGTTTGTTCCCATTTCTTTGAGGCCAATTCTCGGAACTGTGGCAGCTTATGTCATGGCTACAGTCTGGTCACCATGCGGTTAACTGCTTCCACCTGGTAGGGGTTTCAGTATCTATAAGACAGCTCACAGGATACGGCTCAGAATATTATCTCTAGCCCTTGAGGAGGAACTAAAGGTCCTTGACTATGCTTAATGACTAAACTATTATTATTTGGTCTCCTTTGACTGTTTTCCTTTGTTTCTGCATTTTCTCACTTCTCTGATTAAACATATTCTTTTTTTTTTTTTTTTCGCGGTACGCGGTCCTCTCACTGTTGCGGCCTCTCCTGTTGTGGAGCACAGGCTCCGGACGTGCAGGCTCAGTGGCCATGGCTCACGGGCCCAGCCGCTCCACAGCACGTGGGATCCTTCCGGACCGGGGCACGAACCCACGTCCCCTGCATCGGCAGGTGGACTCTCAACCACTGCGCCACCAGGGAAGCCCAAACATATTTTTTGATTAAAGTTCTTCCACAGACAAAAGGCAGGCGGAGGACACGGCGGGGAGGGAAGGCCCACAGGGTCCTGCTCCGTTTCGCTAGCAGCCGAGTCACTGGGCTGGACACCTGCCCCATCTCAGACTCTGTTTCCTTGTCTGTCGCACGGGGATCACAGAGCTCCCAGCGTGCCCCGAGGATTGAATGTGAGCTTCCTGGCACAGAACCGGTGCTGGGCAGACGCTGTCTTACCCTTCCCTCCCCAACTTCCCTTGATTCCCTCCCACTCCGAGGAGTTTAAACAAGCACAGGCGTGACACAAAGGGTGCAGAGCAGGGGGTGACCTAACCCTGAAAGTCTCATCCCATGGGAAGTTTCCAGAGCGACCACCTTATCATCTCCTCCCCTCCACTCCAAACAAAAGAGCAAACTCACAACAGACAAAATCCCTCAGTGCCACAGACCAAAACTTGATTATTTTTTTAGGTGCCAAAATAAACCAGTGAAATCAGAAAGTCCCGTGAAACGCAGGCCGCACCCAGTTCCTGGATCACGTGCACCGTCGCCAACGGTAAGCGTCCGCCTTCTCGAACTGACCTGGCAGGAGGAGACGCAGGCCGTTTTAGGACTCTAGCCCTCAGATTCTAGATTCAACCAGGAGAGCACATTCTGGGCACGGCCGTGAAACTCCCTATTGCTTATCTTCATGCGTCACGGCTCTGAGGCTTCAGAAACCACTAAGAGTGACGTGAGGGGATGTAACAGAGTTTGCTAACTTGACGGATCTGTAGGAATTCAAGTCCATGGGTGCTTTTTCAGTTATAAAAAGAAATATGCTGGGGTCGACAACATCTCTTGGCAGGAGGGGGACACATGGAGGAGGCACGTGGAGGAGATTGTCTACTTCCACAGTCATAAATGTTTACGGCTTGTGGCTAGAGGGATGTAGGCTCAGAAACACACATCCTTTCCTTGCTCTTTTCTCCGTGTTTCATACGTAGCCAACCGTGTTTTACGGCCACGATCCAAGGCAAAGAGCTCAGATCCAGGCTGCCCCTGGCGGGTCCACCTCCAGGCCAGGCTCAGCCCCACACAGTGGACCACCTGGCAGGATGGTGGTCCAAGGAGAGGCACGAACACACGTGTAAGTGGCTCCTTCATGGCAATGAGAGCTGATGGCAAGAGCAGCTACAGCACCCACCAGTGCAGGCGCTCGCCCATCCCCAGCCCTTATGCTAAGATCACTGTCCCAAGGAATAGCTCACCCGAGCCTCACAGCCACCGAGAAGATGGTAGTAATGTTCCCCCGATTTCAAAGCTGGGAATCTGAGGCTCAGAGAGGCTGTGGGGTGGCATATAGGGTCCCACAGTGACCAGGACTGGACCAAGTCCATCTGATGTCACAGACCACCCAGCCACATGGGGCAACGAATGCTCACGTGCTCGCCTCTCAGTCTCGGCTGCCATGAGTCCCTGGATGGGACAGCAGAAGGACACGCGTGCCGGCTGCCCTGAAAGGCAGGGCACAGCCCTGCCCAGGTCCCACCGGGCTCTCCCAGGCCTCCTCTTGTTCGGTTCTCGGGGGCTGGGGGACGGGCCCATGTCGCCTCCTCCAAGATGCTTTCCGATCAAGGGTAGGCTCCGGACTGCCTGTTCTCGCCCTGTTTTACTGTCTTTATAGAAATTATCAGCCCCCAAATGAGCTGTTTGTTGACTGTTCCTGGCCCGTCATCTACAGGATTGTAAGCTCCATCAGACCAGAACCTTGACTGTCCCATGCACGTGGGCCATGCCGAGAAAGGGGCAGGCTGTGAGCAGGCCCCTGACAAGGGGTTTTTCAATGGACGCCCAGCTCACAGGTGAGCAAACTGAGGCCAGAACAGGGAACCACTTGACTCCCCAGCGGCATCCCAGCTTTTCCTGATGGAAACCCTTCTCCTTGGTCCAACACATGTTGGGGGTCTCAGAACCTCAGCTTCAAAGTCACTGTCAGACCGGGGAATGTGCAGATGAGGGGCTGCCGGGGTCCAAGATGTCTCTGACTTCAGACCAACCCCCTTCGAGGGCCCAGATGCCACCCATGATGCCACCCTCACAGGCTCTCACTGTTGACTAAGCTGAAACGAATGCGATCACTTGATAATAATAGCGACGTGTGGGGTCACAGTAGAAACGACCACATTTCCACCTACTTGTGTCGCTGTCTTAATAATTGTGGGGCGGGGGAGGAGGGATAAACTGGGAGATTGGGATTGATGTATACGCACTACTGTATATAAAATAGATAACCAACAAGGACCTACTGCACAGCACGGGGAACTCTACTCAATATTCTGTAATGACCTATATGGGAAATGAACCTGAAAAAGAGTGACTGTATGTAGACAGATAACTACTTCACTTTGCTGTGCACCTGAAACGAGCACAACATTGTAAACCAACTATGCGCCAATGAACATTTTTTATTCGTTTTTATTGGAGTATGGTTGCTTAAAAATTAATTTAAAAATATACCACGTGGGGCTTCCCTGGTGGCGCAGTGGTTGCGAGTCCGCCTGCCGATGCAGGGGACACGGGTTCGTGCCCCGGTCCGGGAAGATCCCACATGCCGCGGAGCGGCTGGGCCCGTGAGCCATGGCCACTGAGCCTGCGCGTCCGGAGCCTGTGCTCCGCAACGGGAGAGGCCACAGCAGAGAGAGGCCCGCGTACCGCAAAAAATACATAAATAAATAAATAAATAAATAAAAATAAATAAATAAATAAAAATATACCATGTGGAAATACCATACGTAAACTCAGGGTGCAGCAAGCCCGGGCTCCCCAGGGCAGAGCCGGGGGACGCACGTTCTGTGGATGTAAGGCTGCCGGGTGTATGCACCCACCACTTCATGAGGCAGCCCAAGAGCACGTGACTGGCCACAGCGGCTCAAAGAACCCACAGGTCATTCCCGGGAGTCATGCTTCTGACAACAGCTGGATGGCCACGGGCCACCCTGAGCCCAAGGGCGGGGTGTCGGGGGAGATTCAGGAGGTAGAGGCAAACCCCGTTCTGCGTCCCCACGGCTCACAGCTCCAGGTGACGCGAGCCTGAGTCAGACCCATGGTCCGCTCACACCAAGATGTCCCTCCAACAAGTTTATCCAATCCACAGCAGGAAAACAAATGGCTAAAAATTGCACCCTGGTCTGCAAATCAGGACAATATCTGCTGCGACCTTGAGAATGCACACTACTGTTTTGAGCTAAGAGCGATTTCCCAGTCCGAAGCAAACGTGGAACTGGGGGAAGGTCCTCCCTCCACCATCACGCCCAGGCTCTGAGGCGGTGACCAGTACCTCCAGGGAGGGGATGCCCCTGCCCGCGGGCTGCGGGTACGCGCGCAGAAGCCGTTCCTCGTCCAAGAACTTGCCGTCTCGCCCGTCGCTCGCCGGCTGGAACAGCCCGTAGTTCAGGACGTCCTTCAGGCTCTGGTTCAACGAGCACAGAATCCGCTGCTTCGCAACCCACACCGTCGCATCGGGGTTAAATCGAATGCACTTCTGCGCGGAAGGACAGAGACCCCTGGTTAGTGATGCAGGATGCCACCCTGGCACGTGGTCAGAGATGCCAAAGGCGCTTCCATTCCATCCCGAGAGCTCCTCTGAGCTCTGGACCCCCTGGCTTTTCTGGATGAAACATACGACCTTCTTGTCGCTTCGGTAAATATAAAAGGGGAAAAGCTCAGATCGACTCACTGATTCTGTGGCCTCAGCTCTCACCATTGGCTCCAATCTCTGGGACCAGCTGTGTTTGCTGGTCATCACTCCCCACCACCTATTGCCCTGGGCAGTTCTCTCACTTGTACGGAGCTTCTCAAACCTCCCTGCTTGTGAAACACAGACTGCTGACCCGCACTCCCTCCAAGCAGAGTGTCTGAGCCAGCGGGTCTGGGTCGGGCCCCAGAAGCTGCATTTCTCACAAGTTTCAAGGTGCTGCTGTAGCTGGTCTCGGAAACAGACTGAGGACGACGGCGCGAGTGAATTACAGTGTGGCTTCGTTTTTACCCCGATCGCTCTCTCTTGGCATCTCAGGCCCAGGTGGCCGTCTCCTCTCGTAACCTCACTGATGGGAAAGCCCAGGGCACACGCGCCCCGCCCCCCTGACTCTGAACGTAACAGCTGCAAAAACACTGACACCGCCCCTCCCAAACCATGAAGAACGGCAATTGTGAAGAATGATTTGATTTAGAAATTGTATCAGTTGCCGTGAAAGTTAATCTTTGAAAAAGTTAAATAGTACAGACGGTTCCTGCAAACCAACCACGAACACTTTTCAAGAACAGAGCGAAGACGCTAAGAACCAGAATGACACGACTTGGTCACGTTCCCAGGTCCCTTCAGTGAGACCTGCCAACACACCAGGAAAACGAGCGTTAGGCCAAATCCGCTTCTGACCATCACTTCTAGTTTTTATTGAATTAAAATTATATTCTACTGCATGGCCATCGGCAGGGGCTCAAAAACGTGCTTAATCACTGTGAAAGCGTTCAGAAACGACCAAGTCTGACTGCGTACGAGGCTGGAACCAACTCTCTGCAGGAGGATTCTGCTCGCCCAAGGATGCAAAAGGCGCTACTATCTCCCTGACCCTCTGCCTCGGGAGAGCTCCTCCCTGCTGGGTAAGAGGATACCCCTGCTCTCGACAACAGGTCGGTTGAGCAGGCAGCCCGGAATCCCACTGCCGGGAAACCTGACCCCACGGGCATGAATGTGCCGTCTGTCCCTCTCCGATGGCAAAGACTGAATTCAAGAGTAAGGCTCAGAGCTCCTCTCGGGGCTGCGAGGCTGGGTGGGGGCCGATCGCTCGCTTCAGTGACTGCCAGCTGCACCCCTGCCATCTTCGGCTGAATGAGAAGACTGTCTGGAAACTCCCAACACAACAGCGGAGCTGTATCAGAGGCGACCAAGTAGGGCCGTGGATATCTCGCCAGTTCCTGCTTTGAGAATCATTGTCGGCCTCTGGTTCCAGCTCCATGGACGCGCGAACTCAAGTTCCCTTAGAGGCCGGCATCCAAAGCGGGCCTGAGGCTCCCTCCCTGCGGCCGGCAGAAAGGATCCTGCCAGCAGGTGGGCGCTGAGCAGAGCACAGCCTGAAAGCCATCCCCCAGGGGATCTGTGTGGCGACTGTAGATGACCCCAGAGACTGGTGTCCACGGCCACTTAGGGGGCAGGGCTGGGGACGCTGAGTCACGACAGGCCAGCCCAGCACAATGAAGAATGTCCTGCTCCAAAAAACACGCCTAGAGGGCGCCACTGAGAAACCGCTCTAGAAGCAGCAGGAGCTCGGAGGTCAGAAAGGCTTGGATTTCCAACTGCATACACTAACCTCGGGATCCTGGGCAAATTTACCAACCCAGTGGTCCCCCTGTTTCTGTGATGAAAACCATGGTAACTGCATAACTTGCAGGGCAGTTGTAAGAAGCAGACGGAACATATATAATACATGTCATTATGGGTTGAATTGTGTCCCCGCAAAAGATAAGGGTTCCTGCCCCTTAAGGAGCTCAAAGCCTAGTGGGGTGTGATGACGGTGGTGGTGTTGTTGGTGTTTATGGTGATGGTGATGATGTGGTGGTGTTGATGGTGGCGATAGTGAACACAATGGTGGTGACAGTGGTCATGATGATGACACAGTCGTGGCTGACATGTATTGACTCCTAAATGCCAGAAACTGTGCTAACTACATCTGCCTTCAACACAACCACGAGTGGAGAGTCTTATTATTATTATAATCATTATTATTGATATAGTGTGATTATTGTATCAATAACTATAATGAATATATAATTATATGTTAAAATACAATGTAATAACAATTATTACTATTCCCATTTTCCAGATGAGCAAGTTGAGCCTCCGAGACTCACGTAACTACCCCAAGGTCGCGTGTCTAGAAAATGGTGGAGGTTCGATCCGAACCCAAGCTGTATCGGCCCGGCTCCGAAGTCCTCGCTATCTAACTGACACGTCATTTCCTCTCTGTGCCCGCGGCACCTCAGTGCGGACAAATCATAAAATACCAGACGTCTAGTCACTGAGAAAACAGAAGAGAATACTTACGTTCAGGTCCTCTGTGGACCAGGGACATACTGCCTTTGTTCAGATTTTCCAATGACCTGGCAATTCGCCCCAATGTTAAATGTTGACAGTTACAAGGGAGAAGCAGTTTCACCTCCATCGCGAGGGACACTATTTGGGAGACGCTACTTTTTTCAAAGAAGTAAAGGCTACGCTCCGAGATACTCTGAAAAATAGACAACGTCACAGGTCTCAAGGCATGTGGTGCTGTGCAGATTAGCTGTGGACGTGCCTCCCAGAAAAAGCAGGGGAGCGCCATGGATGTGGTGTCCTTTCTTCTACTTAACAGCTGGGCTTCAGGGAGGATGGACAAAAGAAAACCCCCGAAGAACAACAGAGCACTTCAAACAAAGATTTTCACCCTGGTGTGAATTCACAAGACTAACAAGATTTTGGAACAGGCTCCTCAGCCAGCAATGGTGACAGTGGTGGACCGGTGGCAGGACCCTGGCCAGCAATGGTGACAGTGGTGGACCGGTGGCAGGACCCTGGACACAAAGGAAGGTTCTGACCATGAGCCCAAGTTCACCGAGCAGGGAGACGCAGGGACCTGGACGCCAGCTGACAGATGAGTGGCTCCAGCGTGGGCTAAGTGATGACACCAACCTAACAACTCAACCCCCAAACAGATGCCCCCATCGTCCCTCCCTGCCCCTCCCCTCCTGCTCCCCGATCTCAGCGGCTGCCCCTCCTCCCATGCCACAAACCCAGGAGGACCTCTTGACTCCGTCCTGTCCCGCAGCTTCCGGACTGGTCTGCATTAATCCATGACCTCGGATGTGTGAGTCCTCATCTGTCCCACCTCCACTGCCCAGCAGCCCCAAGCCTTTCTCACCAGGTCACTCCAGCGGCCACTGCACTGAGCTCACCCCATGTCCCTCGGGCCCACACAACCTGACTCCCTGAGCGGCTGCCAGGGTCCCCTCTCAAGCCAATAACTCCCCACATCCTGCCTGTTGGTACCACCTCTGTCCTGGCCCCAACCCCACACGTGTGTGCACTGGCACACACACACATGCACACGCACATGAAAACATACACACACACGTGTACACAAACGCGTAAGGACACAAATACAAACACACATGTATACCTGTACATACACACATGCGAACACATATACACACACAGACACACACACATATGCACAGACAAACACACGCGCGCACACACACTCCAGCAACGCGCGGGCAGTCCTCGGGAAAGCCAGGCCACGTGCGCCCCCAGCCTCCAGCACCTGTGCACCTGTGCTTCCAGCTGGCCGTCCCCTCCCCACCTCGTCTACCAGCTGAAACTGCACTCACACCTCCCACGGGGTCAGGGACTCACCCTCTCTCTGGTCTCCCAGCTGAGCTGACCGCTGGGCTCCCCGAGTTGAACCCATAGCCCACGGACCATTCAAGCTAATCCGGCTGCCCCCTGCCCCCTCCTGTCCAGCCTGCAGGTCACAGCCTCTCCGTCCCGCATTTCTTGTCTCCTGGGAGGTGGGACACGCATGTATTCCTCCTCCCTCTCTCCTGACACGCAGGTAGGAGTTGGTACCTGTCACTCACTGATCTCCTCCTGCGACAGCCCAAATGCCAGGACATCCAGATGCATCTCAAGGCCGCCCGGTGGGTCTGGCTGAGCTGCGTGGCTTAAGACACAGGACACTTGCGAGAGGACGTAAGGGCATCTCCAAGACCCACATCAGAGTGCTTCTCGCTTACGTCCTGACAAGCATAGCGCTCAACACGGGAGCTGCGTGGTTTGGAAATGGGAGGCGCAGAGACGTGCACACTCTAACAGAGAGAGAAGGGGTTGTGACCGGCATCAGCCCGGATGACAGGAGGGCAGCCGGCATCCAGGAAGCTCCGAGGACGCCCGCAGGCCAGCCTCAGCATCCTCCAGAGGGAGGCACGTTCAAGCCCAGGTAACCATCTACGTCCTCCTCCAAGATGCACCCATTCACATCCCCCACCCTCTCCCTCTCCCGGCTCCTGGCACCACCGGCATTCGGCTGGCGAGAGCGCCCCCTGGCCCTCCGAGCTGCTGCGTGACGACAGGGTTTATGTCCTGTTCTTGGCACAACCATACCTGATGTCCCTGCAGCTCAGTGGATGTCACTGGAACTGAACTGCACTGAACACAAAGTTCCATACGTGGAACCGTCCTGGGTGACAGAACCCGGCAGGAAAGCAAGGTCGCCACGGGATCAGGAAGAGGATGGTGGGAGCTACCATTTCTCGGGGCCCCGCATTGCATCAAGTGCACCGAGGCCTCATCAGCTCCTTGAACGACCCAAAAATCCTGAGAGGAGAGACACACCACCAAAGTGGGCAGAGCTGCGGTCGGCGTGCAGTCAACACGCACGAAACTCTGGCCCTTCCGCTGGTAGAGCTCATGGTCAAACTGAAATCTACAGTGAAGAGAGTGAGAGAAATCCTACATGGCCAACGTGAGCTGTAGCTATTCTGCAAGACATGAGGCTAAACCTGAAATACCTGGACTCAAGGAGAGGCACCCTGGCCCTGGAGACAGAGAGAGACAGGCGCCCAGCCTGGGTGAACCAGGCAAGACCCTGGATCTGTGTGTATGAGTCAGCTTGGGCCACTGTAACAAAACACCACAGCCGGGGGGCTTAAACAACAGACATGTACTGTCTCCAGTCCTGGAGGCTAGAATCCAAGATCCAGGTGTGGGCA